ATACAGTGCACAGCATAAACAAGTACACCCCCTCTAAAACTTTACAAATTCAGCAATTACTCTTTACTTAGAAGACATGTTAGGGTTCTTTGGAGATGTAATGTTCCAACAAGCCTGCTTGATCAATTACCAAAGAAGAATGCCAAAATTATTCAGCAAAATAAGATTTTCTTATCAAAGTGATAAAATGTTGTGTTGCAAAAATGAGTACACCCTCCTCAAAGTTACTAAATAATAATAAAAAAAAGTGTATAGGTTTAAGGCTATTTTTGATCATCAGATAAGTATACTGAACGAAAACTTTTAAAGACAAGTAATTTCCTGACAATTAAAAGTGTTATATAGCCCACTGAATTATACTCAGACTTAATGCTGGCAGCAGTGGAACCACTTGGGATAGAACTGCCAGGTGACTTATTTCTTAGCATAAAAATAAAAGAGGACAAGGGTACAAGAGGAATACCAAATTATTGCTTTAAGTGTGAAAATATAGCAGAAGTAGCACCAACATTCAAAAACAATGGACTTGTGATAAGGCTCCTGAAATAATCAGGTCTTCACTTTAAGTTTTCATTTAGTGATGAGTGAATTTTTGCTAGAAAAGAGCAGGAGAAATAACATTCACGTGTCTCAGAGCCGGCAAAAGCTATGAAAAGAGTGACACTTTATCTCACAGAGTATGACACAGCCTGCAGAAGTGACATGCATGGTTGTTGTCACCACTAGAATTACCTACTGTAGCCAAAGCAAAATAAACTAATTTAACCTCTTCCAAGGCCCATATTGACAAAATAGAGACTTCTGGGAATCCATACTCTTGTCTCAAGAGACCAAATCAATCATTTCGGATCCAAAAGCATCCAAAATGTTCTGGTGTTGCTAGAGGAGGAGTACAGTGAGAAGTGTTTGGTACCCACAGTGACGTTCAGTGGTAATAAAGCTTTTATATAGGGATGAATGAGTGCTGAAGGTGTGAGGGAGTTGTACTTTATCAATGCTGGCATGAATTCACACACCACAGTGTGATGTAAAACAAAAACTTGAAACAGAAGATGCTACCCTCCCCTCATTCCCTGCATTATTGGGCATTTTTTCAGCATGACAATGAAGATATTCATTCTCCTGAGGTGAAAATCCTTCAGTGGACATGTATTTCACTCAATCTTAACACTCTTGAGTTGCTGTGAAAGATTCTGTAGGGACGAGCTGAGCAACACTAACCATTAAAGACCAGAGCATTCAAGGAGGTCGTCCTCCATGATTTAAACAGGACAGATGTGAAAATTTGTCATGAACTTGTACACTCAGTGCCAAGAAGGGTCAGAGCAGTATACTTTAAGTACAGTATATATATATATATATATCTGTTTAAAAGGTTGGGGGCAGTATTGTTTTTTTATTTTATTATTATTTTATTCAGCAAGGACGCATTAAATTGCCATTTATAATTTTACAAAATCTTTCTATTTAAAAAATGCTGTTCTGTTGAACTTTCTATTTATCAAAGCTTCCACAAAAATGAGCAGAACAACTGTTTTCAACAGGATAATAATGATAACAATGAGAAATGTTTCTTTTACGTATAAGAAAGATTTCTGAAGGATCATGTGTCACTGAAGGCTGGAGAAATAAAATTTTGCCATCACAGAATAAAATGAAATATATATATATATATATATATATATATATATATATATATATATATATATATATATATATATATATATATAAAGAGAGAGAGTACTAAGTTAGTTATTTTAAATTTTACAATTATTTCACATATTATTGTTTTTATTTAAATAGCAGTGCAAATTTTGTAAGCATTTAAAGCTGTTTAATTTCATTTGTGCATTTCATGTGTGTTTCTGCAGCAAAGTTTCTTCATCATGTCTGTGTTTGCCGTTGCTCTCCTGGCCCCCGCCGGGTGGATTCTGCACCACATCCCAGAATATCGTCAGAGAGCAAAACCACCACCATCCTGAAGAACGCACACCTTCGTCACGGTCAACTTACTGGGTGTCGTGTACCACTGACAGA